GGAGGTGCTGTGTGAGGGAGCTCAGTGGGGAGAGGTGGAGGGTGCTGTGTGGAGAAGCTCCATGTAAACATCTGCAAAACTTAACTCATTATCCTCTTTCAAATCCCTCCCTAAAAGTCTCCTTTCTGTGATGCCTACAAAAAGCTTGACAACAGGTAGGCTGCTGGGGGTGCATTGTTTCAAATAGTCCTTTGAAGCTCATAACACTTCCCAGGTTTCACAATGGTTATGTCTCCCCCCAGAGATGTTACATACAATCCCACAATAATATTCACACCTTTGCATTTCTAATACCATGAACTCCTAAGGTCTTTACACTTAATTCAGTACAGTTGGCTTTGGAAATTGCCAAATCTGTCACACTTAGCTCCTGGGGTCTTGTGATTACATGAGAATCTCAGCTTTCAGTTGAAAAAGCAAGTTTCTAGCCCTCATAGTAGCAGAGAAAAGCATGAAAATGTGACCTGAATAAATCCTCATGGCTCAGAAATCAGAAGGCAAATAGAAAGCCCCCAAGTGTATCTATAGGTTTTTAAAATCTCATGATCTTTTGGAGCCTGACTTAAATTTTGAACACGAGGTTAGCCACATTACATACTTATATTATGGACTGGCTCCTACTCTGCTCCGGTTGAAGCCACTGGCAAAACTTGTATTTTGACTTTAGGGGGGCCCTATATGTGTGCTTTACTGTCTGGTATGGATTGTGCTGGTGGTTGATGTAATGTGTGAATTCTTCATTATCCTTAACTGTGCCACTCCAACAGAACTCTTGTCACACAGCAGAGGGAGCTCAACATGCCATCTGCTCTACAATTTAATACTGAACAACTTTGTACATCTTGGAACCAGGCCATGATTTTTCAGATCTGCAGAACACAAACAAAGCTCACTGAAGTCAATGGGCTGTGTCAGTGCTTAGCACTTTGGCAGATCAGGCCAGGAGGTTACAGGGCTTGTGCATACATGTACAATTCATGTTTTGCCAAGCCACATCATGATTTACACCCAGATAATGGAGAGTAGGCTCAAACTCTTGGGGTTGGTGCATAGAAAAGGAGCCTACACTGGAGGACTGGACCAGACCTCAAAAAACCCAGTTCTAGTCTTGGCTTCACCCTCCATGTGCCTTAGTTTCCCTATCTGTAAAATAGGGATATTGATCTGACCTCCTTTGTAAAATGCTTGGAGATTTACCAATGAAAAGCACTAGATAAGAGCTGAGTATTATTATTACTGAACCACAAAGAGTCACAAATCATGGGGATTATACGCTAGCTGATGGGTAAATGTAACCCACTGGTCAGTGTGTGCTATGAATCCCTCATTGTGCCGGAGCCGAAAAGAGTGAGAGTCTGTTATAGCACCATCATAAAACCAGGCTGGATAGCTCAAGCTGTAGCAATTTATGCTTTTAGGGCTGGAGGTCCCAGTTCAGTTCTCAGTATCAGCCAAGATGGTGGTCATCACATAAGCAACTCCTTTCCAGCAACCACAGAAAACTGCATTGGGCAGTCTCTCCTTCCCCAAGGCAGTCCGTGACTTCCCCCAGCATCCTCTTCATATATTTCAATCATGTTCTTGGCAATTAATATTCAAGGGATTACCTTAGTCTCCTGATATTGTGCCATGGACAGGCAGTTGGAGAAATCTTCTAAAAGGAGCTGTGAACTAAAGGACTGGACTCACGCATAGGCAAAGAGAAGGAATGTGGTCTGAAGATGACCCTAGCCCTAAAAATTCATCTGGGAAGGCAGAAAGAAGTTCTCACTTCCCTAATAAACATGGAGCTGTATAGTATGCCCATAGTGCCACCCTGCAGGCCACATCACCATATAAACCCCAATTAAAATGTGACCTGCCATATTTATGGGAACAGTTTAGAAATCCAGATTTGAGAATGAAGTAAGAAATCCCAACACTGAACTTAACCAGTAAAGACCTAGTGCCAGGAGAGATGATCATGGCAAGCAATTCTTATTATTTCTAAAGCAGCCAAAATTGTACCAAGTGCTACCCGGGCATGCAGGAAGACAGGCATCTGCCCTAAAGATCTTACAATCTTTGGCCCATTGGGGCTCCATGCATGTCCCAGGTTCTGTCCACACAGACAAAGGGGCTGCAGAGAAGAGATTTAGCACAGAACAATGCCCCCCTTAAACAAACAGTTTAAGCCCCCCAAATCACCTTTTACTTATTTCCGTTTAGCAACACTGCTGATGGATTGCAATGCATTTAGCATTTCACCCTAATGCAGAACAATGAAATATCTGACCAGAGCTTTCATGCTCCCTCAATCCTGGAGCCATTCTGTGCCAGTGACACTCCCCACATGAAATACATTATGCTGCCCCCCCAGGGGTTGTTCCAGCAGCCAGGAATTGCCAGAGCATAGGGGTGTTCCATTCATGCCTCCTTCTGTCTGTCCATGACCCCCATGCGGGAGGTGGCTCTGTAGGAGCCACTACAGCAGACAGAATTCTCAACTAGCCATTTCAGGTGCAAAGCAGATTTAATTTGTAGCAAAAAAGGGGTGGAGGGTCTGGCCCATTTTCCTCTGTTAGTTATTGAACTTTAGCTTCTAGCAGTGTTTTTGCTGACAGAAATTCTGATTTGGGAAATAATTGCTAGCAAGGTGCAATGCTTCATTAAAATGAAACTGTGCACAAAGCCACCTGCTAATGGCAAGTACCTCAGGGGGAGATCCACAATTGGTGTAAATTATCATAGCTTCCTTGAAGCCCAGGGAACTATGACAGTTGATGGCAACCGAGGCTCTGTCCCCAGAAGTCTGCCATTGGAAAGATCGGTAGCATCTTACTAGCTCAGGGTTGTTGCTGTTATTATGTGTTTCATTGTGGGGATTATCTCCTGCTCTGAAACTGAGAACATCCCATAGTCTAAGACAAAGATATTTGCTTCAGAGATAGTCCCGAACCTATAAAATACTATTTAATCTTCTTACGGGCTGCAGGTATTAAACTGGATTGTCTATTCCTCCAGCAATATGCCCTTCACACCTGACCCTGTCTCTTATCAGAATTCAGCTGGGAGAGACCTAACAAAAATGGGATAATTTTCTGCTGCTTCTACCCATAACTCATCTCCTTTCTGGGTGCTACATGTCAAAGAAGCCTCCAGCACTAAATGTTAGCAATGGAACCTCAGTTCCTCTTGAACATCATTTTTGAAGGTAAGCTATGGAGCTTCATATGATTGCCTGAGAGATCTCTATTAGATAAGACAGTCTGATCACAAGGTAAAGGAATAGATTTGAATAATACTTGTAAGAGAAAATACTCTGCTTAAAAAGAATATTAAAATGGTGTTCAGTCAATGAGACTGGAAAAACAAGGGCTAGATCCTCAGAACGTATTAAAGTCATTGAGCTCTAACAATTTCCATCACCTGATGATCTGCCCTTTACATGCAAAAGTTGTTTTAGGTAGCTCATTTTGGAGAGGAGAAGTAAATTGTTTTGTTTAAATAAGGGGTTAGTTCAGGTATCTTTTTCTGTTCTCTATTTTTCTTCTCTTCCTTTTATTTTGCTTTTTTTGTTGTGTTATGAAGGGTGACTTAATTTCCTTTACTTCTATACCCTTTATTAAGAATACAGCTGACTGTACCATTACATGCCTATAGTTAAGGTATGCACATGCACGGGTACTTTTTAGACACCAGGAATAGGATTTATATGATCGACCTCTCTCTCTCTCTCTCTGTAGCCCCCCATCACTGGAGTCTCTGAGCACCTCCCAAGTATTTAAAACAGAGATAGCAACATCTGCGCCTGTCCCTTCCTTTCCCCTAGTTAGAAATCTAAGTTGATTAGCTTATGGAGTTTTAAATATGTGAGTACGTGGGCTTGAAGAACAACTTAGTGAATGGCTTAGAGTTGTGTTCTATTTACATCCTCTCCTCATTTAATATAATAATCCCATTCTGAAAATACTGTGTCCAAAATAATAGTTTACAATACAATACACCAACTCCAGACCACAAGGTGAATGCTATTCACCCCCACATCAATGTTTCTGTACTGCCATAGCCCAGGTCTCAGTTGCTTTGGTATTTACAATTTGGCTCCCTCTGTAAGTACGGAAGATATGCGAATTATCTCCAAACAGACAGTGTGATAACTAGTCCACTTTGCCAGTCCTGATTTGGACAGTAGGTCTGAAGAGGTGTAGCCATAGTAACAAATGAATGCTCAGCACTTTTGTTTTTACTATAGCCAGGCCTTGCCCTCTGCTTTTCTCAAACTGAAAGCAAACATAGAAATCACCTTTTGCTTGGTTTGTATCTCGTGAGAGTGCAAACGCTGGGGAGCTGTGGAATGGCACTAGCTGGGAGATATTAGAGCAATTGCCAGGTACATTTCCAGCAACGTGTCAAGCTTATATAGGTAAGTAACTGGCCTGTATGTAGAGTGGATTTAACACGTTGGGTTCGTCCTTAGTACTTAATCTTCTATGGTGATTTAGACTGTAAGTAAGCTCCTTGGGGCAGGGACCATGTTGACTTATATGCTTATAAAGCACTGAGCAGAGTGCTACAAACTATCCGTTGGACCCAAATCAAAACCCAGATCTGAAGAACCCTGAGCTTTGTGGGACGAAGTGATGGGGGAGAGCAGAATTCAGATACAGAGCTGAATGTTGTGGCTGGCTCATCTCTATAATGAGCCAAACCAAAATGCCAGATCTGTACAGCCCCAAACTTTGGGAAATGAGGGGGTTGAAAGCTGGATCTAGATCTGAATTTGCCAGTTTGGGCCCATCTTATATAATGCAAACATAATGCCAGTTAATAATGCGTTGAGTTGAGTTAGGTGACAGGAGATCCTTGCACTATGTGTTTCACACTAAAACTTCTTCTTTTGTAGGATTCTACACTTTTTGTAGCATGCAGTTCCGGTCCTGTTGAGATCCCCACATCTAGGAGCAGCAAGAGACTCCCAATGATAGGTGTAAATGCAGTTTGCTGACCAGGAGAAGTCTCCATTGGCTCCAGGAACATTGATCAGATTCGTGAGCATTCGGGAAATGCATTTACTACTGAGGAGAAGGCTTCAGAGGAACCGGGTTCTTTTCCTATTGGCCATGGTGTTGGCTTTTTCCATCTATCAGCTTCTCTGTGGCCCTAAAATTCGTTCAGCACCTTGGACAGCATCTCAGCTTGAGGATCAAGTGAAAGTGACCACCAGGGACCTTTCCAGCAACAAAGCCACTGCAGCGGACAATGGAACAACAGCATCCAAGATAAGGCATTGTGTATATGTGGACCCTACGCCAACCATGCCCATCACATCATCAGTGAATGCAACCCCACCCCTAGGAAGTGTCAATCTGACCCACCTGGACGAAGAGGGAAATTACCCAACACCCCCCTCCCATGGAGAATACCCTGAAGACCTTTTTAGCTTGGAGGAGCGCAGGAAAGGGTGGGTCATACTTCACATCTTTGGCATGATGTATGTGTTTGTGGCCTTGGCCATAGTGTGTGATGAATATTTTGTCCCCGCCTTGGATGTAATCACGGAAAAGTTGCAGATCTCTGATGATGTGGCAGGGGCCACCTTCATGGCAGCAGGCGGATCAGCACCAGAACTCTTCACCTCTCTCATAGGTGTCTTCATCTCACACAGCAACGTGGGCATTGGCACCATTGTAGGCTCAGCGGTGTTTAATATTCTTTTTGTCATTGGCACCTGTGCCCTTTTCTCGAGGGAGATACTCCACCTGACCTGGTGGCCCTTGTTTAGAGACGTCTCGTTCTACATTCTAGACTTACTGATGCTCATCCTGTTTTTCTTAGACAGCTTCATTGTTTGGTGGGAAAGCATCCTTTTGTTGAGTGCCTACATCCTCTATGTGCTCACCATGAAATGGAACGTTCACTTAGAACAATGGGTGAAGGAACAGGTGAACAAGACAAGAAATACCGTGAAGGCAGCCGCTTCTGAAGACACCAAGAAGGTTAGTGTCCTCATTGTTTTGTTGCCTCGTTGGGAGTATTTGTTCTCACTTAAAGCACAAGGAAAGGTTGAGCCTCCTTGGGAAAGGGTGCATGAGACCAACCTAATCAATCCCTTCAAAACTACAACTGTTGGTTAAGACAATTGCTTTACTTACTGATGATTGTTAAAAGGTGAGGGAACGTAATCTAAATATTAGGAAGTGAGGGGGAAATCAAGGAAAAGTCCTTAATCCATTCAAAGGGGGCTCAACTGTAGAACAAATCAGACTGTATCCATTAGGTGCACCTCTACATTTTCAGAGAGATGTATGGGATTTTCCACTCAGCTGTCATTAGTGGGAACTAGATGATTCAGTCCCATTCAGTGGTGGAGATTCAGGGCCTACATTAGCAGTCGGGAACCATAGAAGACACATTGGCTTGAAATGTGCATTCTAGGAGCTAACAGGAGCATTTCTTTGGTTGTTTGAATCTAAACAATGAGGATCACAACCCTTCCCTTTCGCCTATCAGGCTAGATCAGGGGTGGGCCACATCTGGGTGGGGAAATTGTATGCAGGGCCATGAATGTAGGGCTGGGGCAGGGGGTTGGGGTGCAGGAGGGGTGTAGGTTGCGGCAGGGGCCTCAGGGCAGGGAGTTGGGGTGCAGGAGAGGTGCAGGCTCCAGCCTGGTGCTGCTTACCTCAAGTGGCTCCAGGGTGGCAGCGGCGCGCAGTGGGGCTAAGGCAGGCTTTCTGCCTGCCCTGGCCCTGTGCCGCTCCCGGAAGCGTCCAGCATGTCCGGCAGTGGCTCCTGGAGGTGGGGTGGGGCAGGCGGCTTTGCCGCGCGCTGCCCTCGCCTGCGGGTACCACCCCCAAAGCTCCCATTGGCCACAGTTCCCCGTTCCCGGCCAATGGGAGCTGCGTGGGGCGGTGCCTGCAGGCGAGGGCAGCGCATGGAGCCCTCTGCCTCCCCAGGGGCCACAGGAATGTGGTGCCAGGCGCCTCCGGGAGTGGCACGGGGCCAGGGCAGGCAGGGAGCCTGCCTTAGGCCCCGCTGTGCCACAGGGCTGGCAATCCCACACGCCGGATTGGAAGCCCCGATGGGCTGTAGTTTGCCCTCCCCTGGGCTAGATGCTGAGCAGTCTAGGCTACTGACGCCTGTGGTATATGAAAACTATGTGCAATTGTGGTATCATCGCACCTTTTCTGTACAGAATTTGAAAAGGAGCAGAGACCAAAGAATGATACCGAAAGGGATGAGTGGCACAGAGAGCGCTCCACGTAAATCAGGAGACATGTGCGCAAATACTGCAAGACAACCTGATCTAATGGGAAACAGAGTTTTTCTAAGGCGTTTTGCCACTTTCTTCAACTGTGGATCTCCAACTCCCTCTTGCTCCCCTAAAAGAAGCTGAACAAAGGGAGCAAGAGGGGGCTGGAGATCCATGGTTTGAGGGTGGGTCAGTGTGGGGCCCAGGAGCTGCCAGTCCATGAATTATGCTCCCCTCTGAACATGGCAGATTTCCCATAGGAAACCCCTATGTAACCTCAGCTGCGTGCATACATCGATACACACACCATGGTCAACAGCAAGAATCAAACATGGGGTCTTCTGCACCCAAGGCACAGGCCCCTGCACTTTGAACTAAGGGAGAATTCTAGCTGTGAGACAGCAGATGACTGTATAGGTGCTGGAACCAGCTGTGAGCAAGAAATGTGATCCCAGACTCCATGTGTGGAAGGCAATGCTGCACAGTGCAGGGTTAACCCCCTCTGCACCGGCTCTCCCTCTCAGAAGATGGGTAAGGCATAGATGCTGGGGACAGAGGCAGTGTTCTCCAGCTCCTCAGGAAGCACTGCAGAAGGGGAGGCCATCCTGGGTCTGGCACAAGATCCACACGACTGTGTTTTATCTTGCTCACAGACCCTGGGGATCTATAGGGTTTCCAGGCCACTCCCTCTACTCCTCTATGTGGCCACGAGTTCCTCCCCATTGAGGCAAGTGTGTGACTCCAGTTCTGTGAGCAAACCTCATAGGCAGAGATTTGTAGACACTTCCATGCAAGGGCAGCGTCCGTGCAGGTTGATGAAGAACTAATGGCATTCCCACAATTTTATATTCTTGTTTCCATGTAGCAAGGCAATGGGTCAGTTGCAAGGGATGGAGCAAAGCACTCAGACGACAGCAAGAGACTGGAGGTAAGTGGATATAATAGTCTGTGCAACGCTATATGGATCTGGATGTATTGCAACTGGAACCAGCCCTGAATTTAAATAGATGCACCAAGCAGAAATCGTTCTGTTGGTCAGGAAAGGAAAGGACACAAACTCCTTTCAGGATGTGTCCTCTTCTCGGTGTAAGGAAATACGAACCAAATTCTGCCTTTGTGAACAGGAGCAGCCATGGGCATTGAGCAAATGGAAACTGAGGCAGAAACTGGCTTGTTGTCTCAGGATAGCCCAGTGCTGTAATCTGATGCTACTCTCGGGGACACGGTGAACTTGAGCAGAGAGGCAGGCTTAGTCAGAGTAATGTTGATGATTCTCAGTCCACTTCTGAGCAGACAAAAGTCCACAATAGATAAACCACCATAACTGGAACTAAGGCCCCAAGCCAGCCAACAGCTTAAGCATGTGCTCAACTTTAAGCATATGCTTTGCTGGATCAGGGCCTAATTTAGGAACCTCCTTGTTGGTAGTCTCTGGAGAGAGGCCATGGATAGGCTATGGAGAGTGAACTCCTCTCTTTTCCCTGGAGCTGGCTGAGACACATTAGTGAGGCAGGGATGGGAAACCTGCATTGCTACTGCCTGTCCTGGCCCTGCTGATTGGCTCGGGGACATCAGTCTCCCGGGGTGTCAATCCCGCTTTCACCAGCACTAAAAGACAGTAATGAACGACAGGAATAGTCTGACTGTGGGGAAATAGCGAAGGGGCCTGGGATTAACGGCTGTGTTGTACATTCACCCTGTTCTACAGCTCATGCCATCCTTACAGCGAGGAGGCAGCTCGGCCTCTCTGCACAACAGCCACATGCGCACCACCATCTTCCAGCTCATGATCCGCACCCTGGACCCCCTGGCCGAAGGTGAGCTAATGCCCCACCTCTGTGTGATTAGACACTCTGTTCTGTAGCCTGGATGCAGGCAAAGCTCACGGCGACATACACAGGATCAGGTCCTTGGCTGGTGAAAATCCATTCAAATCAGTTCGGCTATTCCAGTTTACAGCAGCTGAGGAGCTGAGCCGCAGCAGAGGGTGCATATGATTATTTTAGAATGGGAGTCCTCTCTCTGATCAAGGGCCCTGTGCCTGGGGGAAATGGCACTCCCTTTCTGATGTGCTATGGGAGCTGTGATTACAACAACAAAAACCACCCAGACTCATTAAACATACCTGGGAAGAGGCAAGCAAGGACAAAGTCAGCAGATCTGTTGTGGCTGTGGCGCTGAACAGTTTCCCCAGCAGATGAAGGCTGACTGGTCACATAAAAATGCACCTTTCCAAGCTGATGTTTAATGGCGCCGTGAATTTTAGCCAGATGTTTTCTTTTCACCAGGCTATAAAATAAGCAATGTAGAGATTGCTGAGGGTAAATCTGACATCGATGTGCTTTGGAAGGCTGAGCGCTCTTACTTTGGTAACACACAAGTCTCTTAAAATTACAACCCTAACCCGAGGCCTTCGGTTCTTACTGAGGTCAACTTGCTTCCAACCAGCATGCAACATCTGGTGTTTTCCATATGATGCCAGCCTCTCCCCTTATGTTATGGAGGTGGCACCATAGTGCCCCAGGATTCCCAGTGTCTGTAGGCATGGTTTCAAAATGTTAATTAAAGCGCTAGCTAATTTTGCCTCTAATATATAATTGCAGCTATCTGGCATGTATAACGAAGTATTAAGATGAGAATTTACTTGATGTGTGAACTTCATGAAACAGTATCAGAAGTGATACTAACACCCACTTCTGATCTAGGGTTAATTAAGTACAGGGATATACATAATGTAAATTGATGGCAATCAACAGGTTATAGATAAGTGCAGACAATATCATTCACATTTCCTTTGACCCCTATGAACACTCCAGCAAATTAGTACACTTAACATTCCTTTGATATTCACACATAAGTTAATTGGCCTGTTGCTCTGACCTGAATGGGTCTGTCAGAGTCACAGGCACTATAGAAAAAAAAATGCAGCTAAACAGATTAAACTAGCAATTGAAGAGAAATAGATCAACAGTGACTTCAGGGGGGTTTCCTCTTGTTACACCGCAGCTGCATTTGGCCCCGTGAGCATTACAGCCAGGCAGGAGGAGGATGCAGAACAACAACAGAATCAGGGCTACCAGTTCTTTTCAGTAGGCCATGTTGATCTCGTGGCGTGGAATGCTTGAAGCCAATTCCAAAAGAGGAATATACAAGAAATTAACAAACAAACCAGGAGAGCGGGATAGCTGACACTGATCTTCTAGTAGTTGTTAGGCTGCTGAAATGCACAGGCTGACACAAGTTACCTGCCACCTTGTATAACTGATAGCTTCTCCATGAGAGACAAAGCTCAGATTCATGGGTAATTTGCAAACAGTAGTGCCACGTGTGCTGAAGGGAAGAAAGAAGCTGCCACCTGGAATGGAGAAAACAAACCATTCTGCAGCGGGTTTGTTTATTGCTTTGCTATAGGAAACCATACCACTAGCCATCAGCGGAGACGAATCAGTCTGGGAAGGATCAATAACATAGGTGAAGATCACAGTATTTTCCCAACAGTGTCTTTCTCACAAGTATGACTCCTGGATTGGACCATGGGTTTATGGAGGACTTACTGAATTTAACCGTCCCCCACTGTTCAGTTATTTTGGATTATTCAGGGCCTAGTGAGGTATCTTGAGATAGCCCCCCCCCCCCCAAAATACTGCCAAAGACTTAACTCCGCGAGGAGTCCTGAACGCGGGCAGCGTGAACAGCACTGCCAGGATAAATGGGGGCAAGGCGATGGTGGAGCGAGGCTGCTGAATAAGCCAGAGCACTGACAGAGACTTAACCTACAATTACCCTTTCTCCCTGCACCAGCCTTCAGGTGATGCAGCCTCCTCGGCCAATGACAGCCCCCCCTTGGAACGCATGTCAGGAGAATTAATGTCCCACTTTCAAATCACTGAGGCTGATCGCATGCAAACTGGCCAGTGGCCAGTCAGGCCTGAAGCTAATGAGTTTATCTTGATCGAGAGATGCCCTCACACTCCACTCCTAGAGGACTCCATAGCTTTAGCTCAGGCAAGGGCAGGGAGCCAACAGCTTAGTCCCGTTCAGGGCTGGGGCCTGGCTGCCCTGATCCAACCCCTCTGCAATGCAACTGCTTTATCTCCACTAGCAGCCGGGAGAGTGTCAGGGAGACAGGGTGGTCTAGTGGTTAGAGAGCGAGACTGAGCATTTGCCACAGCAGCCAGCTGTTTGCATCTGTGCACAGCAATGGGGGAGCTCAGTCTTGGAGCATTCCATACCCACTCTGCACATGGTTAAATGACAATACAAGGGGGAAGGCCGCAGGGAGTCTGGCTCTGAGCTCTGACTCATCCTTTCCCCATCTGTACCGGGGGGATGAGAGCTAGAGCGGGTTGGAAAACTAAAAACACAGGGCTTCAATTTTCCCAACTCCCCCCCTCCGTCCCATTTCTCATTGAAATATCATTTGGCTAAAAATGCCCCAACCAACTCTGACATCCAGCTGCCTGTGTCAGGTGCTATGAGATCGTGGCCTGAGACACTAGTGTTGCCTGATTTATGGATTATGTATTAATTATACTGATTACTTAAGAATTCCCAGTTAACACGCAGATAGGTTCTTGTCCCAAGATCAGGCCCAGTATTATTAAAATGACTGTTCACAACACTCACCCTTAGGAAATCCTTCTGTATTTGTGATCAGTAGTGAGAGATAATACCGGATGAGCATGTGAGCAGCCCTATCCTCTCACCATCCCCTGCAGAACAACCTGAAATGTTAATCAGTCCCCTCCACCCTCAAAACCTCTCACCGGAACTTAGAGGTGCTTTCAACCCAGGCTGGCTGGCCCATCCTGGGATCTAGGCAAGATCCCAGGTGCTGCTCTCACTGGGGCTAGTAACCTCCCCACTTTGGTAAACCACTCAAATGCTGATAGTCCTCCAATGCCTTCCCACAATGCCCAGTGTGCCTGGAAGGACAGCCAGGTTCTCCCACAATTCACGGGGAAAGAATTATAGAGCAGCTCAGCTTACTGCAAAGAACCCGGGGCTGTACCCCCAGACGTCCTAGCACCACACGGGGGAGCGCAGTGCCCGTGAGCACACGGTAACTCAAGGAGGAGGCTTTGTGGTGTGGCTGCTCACAACTGGGCCAGGCCAATCCACAAGCCAATGACGTGAGTTAACACTGCAGTGATGAGGGGCCTAACAGGGACTCAGAGGAGTTTGTCGTCTTCATGATCAATGAAATGTAAAGAGCATTTTTCATCCCAGGCCCTGGGTTGGCCAGGCTGCGGGCACACTGGCCAAACCTCATCTCCAGTCACATGACAGGAGGAGGAGCTGCTTTAGTTTTCATGTAATCAAAAACTGAGCAAAGTCAGCACTACTCAGGTAACAACAGCATCTTACCTCAAAATGCCTTCCTTCCGCATCCGCTCGCTCTGCAGTATTGACTATCGGCCATGCTGATGCACTGGAAGGAACGCCCTGCTCCCTCTCTCCCCACACATCTTATCTAGACTTTTTTTCAAGGCTGGTTATTTTAGATTTCAGGCAAGCCACCCTTTAAGAGCTCAGGGATAATTATTGAAATGCTAACTGCCTGGAGACTACAATATAACAATCCTGGTCAGCTAGCAACACTCTAGAGCTGAAATCATCTTGGGTCTCAGGGTTGACTGCAGCCCATACTACAAGGCTCATTGGGTGGGAGTTATTTCCTTACACCTGATGACAGGCCTGTCCCCCTTTTCATTCCCAGCAAAGTTTAAAGACAAGCTTGACATCATGAGCAACTTGGCCACGGGCAAACTAGGCTCTCAGGTCAGACAAGGAGTGAAACCGGAAGGTGAGCTCAAGGCAAGCTGCACCATTTGCCTGTAGAGTCCTTTTGCTTTGCACTGTACGTGCTCACCCCACCAGCGCTGCAGGTCTGGGGCTGCCCATGAAATGTAGCCGTGCAACACACATTTCCACTCCGTGAGCACTGATCACATGCAGCGGTCTGTGCAAAAGCAGCCGCAAACGCTTGGGATATATACCGGCACCAAGAGCTGGCAATCAAGTTAATTCCTGCCGAGCCCTGGGAGTGCATTAGTGAAATAAGCATCCAAATGGAAATGACCGGGATGAGACGGGCTATTCAATCAGAAGGGAAGATTGTGCCATTACATTCAGCAGCTGGATGCTGAGGCGTCACTAAGACACCGGTGGGGGTGGAGGGGCTGCAAATGGGATTTGTTCTTTAAAACAAACACAAGAGCCTGAGCCTGGGAGCTGGGTCTGACTCCTCGACTGGAACATGGCAGCGTGACTGTGAGGGGGCACACAGTACGAAATGTCCCGTGCGATTGTCTTCTGAATAGTTGCTGGCTTGAGCTACACCTCTACCCCGATATAACGCGACCCGATATAACACAAATTCGGATAGAAGGCGGTAAAGCAGCGCTCCAGGGGGCGGGGCTGCGCACTCTGGTGGATCAAAGCAAGTTCGATATAACGCGGTTTCACCTATAACACGGTAAGCTTTTTTGGCTGCCAAGGACAGCGTTATATCGAGGTAGAGGTGTATTTCAGTAGCGATTCATAGGCTGCTTGAGCTAAGAATTGTGGAGGAGGTAGCTGTCCAGCGCTGCAACATGGATCTGTGCTATTCGTGGGGCTGGAGCCATCTGAAAGTGGATGGGTAAAATTCACACTGAAGTGCCCATCTCCGCAGGCACAGTGCTATACCACTGGAGTGCCCTGACCATGTAATAACATAGTTTGGTCTTGTCTGTGTAGATGAGGACCAAGCTGTGGTAAAGCCCTAAATGAAGATCTGGGAGCATATCCTCAGCAAATTGTCATAGTTCCACTGACTTACCCCAGGTGAGGCTCTGCCCCCTACAGGATCTTTCCTGTATAGATGGGCCTAGGCTACATCCTATGCATGTTACCAAACTGTGCTATATCCTCGGGCCGGATGTTTTCGAAGTCCCACTTCTGTGCATCTCATTATGCAACCCCCAAATGGCACATGCCAAGGACAGCTTCTGAAAACCTGACCTCACATTTGTACAAGGTTGTAAAAACAGGATCACTATGACCATTATAAGGGAGTTAGGTTCAGCCTGCACTGCTCGGGCCAAACCATCCTACAATACTAGTCTAGGTATGATCCTGTTATAACATGATCCCCTGACCTGGCAGATTTGGCTATATAGATGGGCCCAGAACGTATTCGCTAAGCCACATTACAGCAGCATGTCAAGATCCTATTCTCTCTGACTCAATGCCCCTCTTCCCGCCACTATCCAATATCCATGGTCCAGCACTGTTCGGAGCGGCTGTTTTCAGGTTTCTCTTGCTTTCGGTTACATGGGTTAATTACATTCCTGGAGGGACCAGCACAGAGGAGTCTGGGGATTTTTTCCTGTGTGTTATCGGGTGTCAGCACTTTTCTCTTTGAACATGTGCCTGGTGATTAGGGATTAAAGTCTGGCAGACAGAACAGTCGTTTCTGAGAAAACTTGAACACCACCAGCCCCTAGAGAATGCCTCCGTCATGGTGGAAAGAAGGAAGCAGAGCCCTGCATCCTGCCTGGTTGTTGAGGCTGGCTTTAATAGAATTCTCAAACTCTGTGTCCATTAGCGATCAGCCAGTCAGCACTCCCTCCCCTCGCTATATCTGCCTTTAGCCGCATGGGTATTACGTAAGTGATGCCCCAGCACAAAGATGAGAGGCAAAGCTGCTGCAACAACCTTACGTCTAAGGTTAGCGGGCCTGATTGTGCCCTGTTTTTGCTGGCCAGACTCTATAACTGGGGTGTATCTGTAGGATAATCAGAGGGAACAAACAATAGATTGACCTTCCAACCCTTCAGAAAGAGCTTGCTTTGCACTGCTCCAGTTTATGGGGTCAGAAACGTAAATGTTTCGCACTCTCAAGCTCCCTGCTGATGTGGGGAGGTCATCTCTTACTGCTGGGCCCAGCTCTCTCTCTTATCCTTTCAAGCAGAGAACAAAGCGGAAGCAGAATTAGCAACCACTGTTCAAGAAACGCCTGCCAGCGACTCCAACCTCAGCGTGGTGGAGGATGAACACAATGTGGACACATCGCCTGGCGGGCAGGTATTGTGAACTGGAGCCACGTGGAACAAGAGCTCAGCCCAGGCCAAAACCTCAGTGCCGTGTCCGGTGAAAGAGGGCACAACCCAACTCAAGTCATTAGCCACTCTAAATAGACCGTCCTTGTAGTAACAAGTTATCTTGAGTGGCAACAGAGAGCGCTAACACGAGTAACTAGTTAGACCCAGTCAGCTAAGACCCCAAAATGCTCCTGCTAATCAAATCCAGGCTCAGAGGTACTACAGCAGCGGACTCTGGTAGCCTTACGTAGTATACTGCTTTACTCCTCAAGCTGTCCCATGGATTTCGGTGAGACTGCTCTAGGAGTAAGTGAGTCCGCAGTGGAAATGAGGGTATCACAACCTGTGTAAACTGGTTAGAGCAAAGACTGTGTCGTCCTCTATGGCAGCTCTTTTTGTTTTAATGATATGTGACCTGACCCAGGGAAGGGATGGTGGCCCCTTGAAAGAGATGAGGATATTTTGCTGTGTTGAAGACCTGGTGGTTTGAAAGCCAGATAACATGTATTGTCTGTGTGTGTCCAGTGCCCAACACAATGGGGTCCTGATCCGTGACCAGGGCCTCTGGGCACTACTGCAATACACATACTTAAGATATTCAGGAGTCTGACTGCAGCCTCGCTGGGCGCCTGCACTGAGATAGGATCGTTCACAATGTGGTCACGTAATACTGACCTAGGGGACGGACTGTTCTGCAAATATTTACAAATGGGATCATCAAAAACTAGATCTCTGCCCTGGGGGACAAGAACACACAGTCATCCACAGCTGTGTGTGTGTGAATGCGCGCACACACACACACACGTCAATGCAGCCTTCTAGTTGTTTCAAAATGTGTTTGGGGGGGTTGGTTGTTTTTTTGGGTCACAGCTCTCTCCGGATATAGAAGGCAGCAGCTCTGAGGAGGAGGAAGATTGTGATGAGGAGAGTGAGGATGAAGATGAGGAGGAAGAAAATGACGAGCCATTATCCCTCGAATGGCCAGAGACCCGGAGAAAACAAGCTCTTTACCTTTTCCTCCTGCCCGTTGTGTTTCCTCTCTGGCTCACAGTGCCCGACGTTAGGAACCCAGTAAGATTTTACTTTCTTTATGCCACTGCGATGGATAAAGCTTTATTAGCAACAGAGCCACGGGGTCTCTATTTTCCCCATAGATCGCTCGGGCCTCTATGTACCTACTTCCCATTGGTGGTGGGAGCTGGAGCCCCTGTTCTGGGACGGGGGTTGCTCTCAAAGGTGAGAAGTAACTGAAAGCAGGTATTCTTCTCTACCTTCCCCTGAATTTTACAAGGCAAAACCAGCCGGCAATGGCTAATGCCAAGTAGCAGAGACTCCTCTAGGAAACCGCGGCGGCTGTGTCAGTCCCAGATTTGATATGACAGAAACACCACTGCAGCTGGGACTCTCAGCTAGCCGAGGCAGAAGAGAGGCTAACAACAGAACGAGCCCAGAGCCTGAGCTACCCTCTGTGCTCTCCAAGGAGTCGGTCCATGTTGTGTGGGAGGCAGATTGGCAGGGAAGCGTGGGCCGCTTTGCACTGGTGCTGCGTTCGTTATACCTGTTCAGAGCTAGAAAACGTCACTTCCCACATCAGCACTTTTGTGTTTTTAAAGCAAACACTGAAAAATGTAAAGAAGAAATAAACAAAAATTGTTTCTGTGCCTGCGTAGCACTGGCCATAGAGTACATTAACCGATAGGAGATTGACTTACTACACACTACTGCTGTCTAGATCCAGGGCATTTCATTAGCAGCGTGTAGTCATAGCACCTAGTGGCACTGGTTACATCAAACATTTCTCTACTAGAGCGGTTCTCAAACTTCACTGCACCTGCCACCCCCTTCTGACAACAAAAATTACTACACGGCCCCAGGAGCCCGCTCGAACCCCACCACTCCATGCGGGGGGGACCGAAACCCGAGCCCCGCCACCCCTGGCAGGGTGGGGGCAAAGCTGAAGCCCAAGGGCTTCAACCCCAGGCCTGTAACCTGAGCCACCAGCCTTGGCAACCCCATTAAAACAGGGTCGCGACCCACTTTGGGGTCCCAACCCACAGTTTGAGAACCGCTGCTCTACTACATGGCTGCAGGCCATTAGCAATGAGGGTGAAGTCTGCCCACTGAACAGTCACGTGACAGGATGCAAGGGCCTCTGCAAAAAATACTGGCAGTGGGATGAAATCCAATAAAATAGTGTGGACTGAAAACTAAGCACGGTGCAGCTTGTTTTAAGCAGCCACCCAAGGTATCAGCAAAAACTGGGCACCTAGTAGAGGGGTGAAAAATCAAACAAAATGATACTAGAGACTATGGGGCCATGTTAAAATAATTGCCCGAGGTGAAGTGATGGAGGGTGGATCAGGCTGTTGGGAAGATCAGACTCCTAACCGTTTTCAAACTTGCTTTGAACAGAGGTCTAGAAACTTCTTTGCCATCACATTTCTAGGAGCCATCATCTGGATTGCAGCATTTTCCTACCTCATGGTGTGGTGGGCACATCAGGTAAGAGGTTCTTTTTCTATCTAGAAACAAAGAGTGGTTCAAAAAACAAGTAGAGGGGGAAAATGCCCCACTGTGGCAGACACCTTTGGCCTGGTCTACACCTACAAATTAAATAGACCTAGCTACATGGCTAGGGCTGTGAAAAATTTTGCACCCCGTGTGACACAATTAGGTCAGCCGATGAATTGTTCCACTGGCCTACCTTCCACCTTTTGGAGAGGTGGATTACATTGACGGAAGAACTCTTTCTGTCGATGTAGGAAGCGTCTATACTACAGTGGCAGCAGCACAGATGTGCTTTTGTAGTATAGATGTTACCCTTTGTTTTCAATGACTTTACAGATACTGCCATCCAATGAACACTAGACATTTTGTTCTGGGAGAACCCAAGTGAGAATGTTCAATTTCATCCTTTCATTTGACAAAGATTAATTCTTGCCCCCACCCCCAGTTTCTAAGGGAGTTTGTGCATCAGTGGAAGAAATGTTGTCAAGTTGACAATTATCTTCATCGTCTTTTTATCAATGCATATTTCTATGGGGGACATAAGTGTTTTAACCTTATCTAATTAAATTTCTAAGAATATAGGGTCTGATATAGCATGGTGCTGAGTGCCCTTAATGCCCCTTGCCTTAATATCAATTTGCTATTTAAGGAGAGGTGAAAGGTACTCAGCCCCTTGCAGGACTGGGGCCTGCAATATGTATTTGGTGATATACTGTACATCTATCTTATAGTTAATCAAACCACGAATCAACAGAAATTGTGGACACCAAACCACAGTACAGATGTCAATCAGCAAATGGGACTGTGTGTCTAACTAGGAAGACCACTCAGATAAAGAATTTATCATGATTTGGGCCAGGTTTAAAATTTGGAGAGGAAAGATAACTCCACATCTTCTGGAGATGTTCCAAGACAGAGGTGTGCTGTGCTGCATCTGAACACGCTCCCACTTGGTCTTGTCTCTGAGGCACAACTTTGCAGTTAGAAGGGGATAAAGGAAATAGATTTCCATTAAAGAAAGTATTTCATATCAAAACAAGCCTTAGAATTAGGCCATCCTGTATCTTGTAAAGCAGAATTAGGTTGCAGCCTTTAAGGGGATTTCAAATAAAATCATAACCCAAATACAGCATCAAGCCTTCAGGAATGAAAAGGGTTAATTACATTCTTTGTTTCAAAACTAAGGACCATTGTTGCTGTTTATTAGGTTGGAGAAACAATTGGGATTTCGGAGGAAATTATGGGTTTAACAATCCTGGCAGCAGGGACTTCAATCCCTGACCTCATCACAAGCGTTATTGTTGCACGTAAAGGCCTGGGTGACATGGCTGTCTCCAGCTCTGTGGGCAGCAACATCTTTGACATCACTGTTGGGTAAGTACTAGCCACATGTTAAGAGTCACGTTTGGTTTGAAGTAGAAAATGCTGCATTTCTATTCCAGTCTAAATCGGACTTTCGTGTTGGGTACAAACCAAATTAAAGGACAGCTGGACAATTAGTGACACACATTCATTTGAACAGATTTCTTTAGTTAACCTGACCCAAAGAGAGAGTTTATAACTAAAACCCAATGCCAGGTACTGCAGTATGGTGATAACTCAAGACTTTTGAAGTGGTATAAGTTTTTAGTCTAAACGGCTGTAGTGCCACTGAACAGGAGTATGTGGTTTAAAATAAATAGCAGCAGTTTTACCCGAAGATCTCAGCGTGCCTCAAAAACATTTAATCTTTCAGCACCAAGGTGTGAGAGGCAGTGACAATGTCCCTCCTTTAACTGAGAATGTTTCCCTTTCTTAACTGACCTCTTTTAAAATTTAATTTGTTTTTTTTTAAATGGTTTAGGGTAATGGGACTTGCATTGATCCTGTTACAGTTTGATGCATTTTTATATGATAAGATCTAGAGATCTGCTGCACTCAGCTGATATTGCTCATTTTAAAATCAGACAGACTGTGGTACCCACTGAGTAGCTGTTTTTCCAAAATTAAATAGTTCTGTCATTTAAAAAAAAATGAAAGGGGCTTGCACCTTTAGTGTAGCTTAGAGCATGACACAGCCCAGTGATAGTTTTTGATCAATATGTTTTACTAGCTATTCTTTAGAGAAAACTCTGAAAACACGACTTGAAAAGGATGGGGGCAGGGAAATCACTGCCACGAGGGAGGATTTGGCAGGGAGGTATTTGCTCTGAGGCTTGTGCTCAAGGGCCTGCTCAGGCTGGAACTCAAGGGTAGAGATAACCTCTTTGCACGTGGTTACAAACTTCTCAGTGGGGAAAAAAACTTGTGTTGCATTTTGTCCATGTCCTGCTCAGAATCAGTCTGCTAGCTCTCCTTCCGCAGCAGAGGAGGAGGTGTCTGAGTCAAAGGACAGATACCATCTATGACAGGCCCTTTTGCGACTAGCCTTGCACAGGGCTTTGAGCCCCCTAGAAATTTCTCCTTTTGATTCGTCTCTTGTAGGCTCACACTCCCGCAGGCCAGGGGATGGGGATTCACTGCCAGTTTCCTGCCTCAAGCTGTGAGGAAGGGGGGCTGATTGTGAGCCCTGCTTCTATCCCCAAGGCACTTTGGACCCATTTCAGGATGTGGGGTGGGGCCGGAAGCCTTGTCCTTAAGGTCCTGAATTGCCCCAGGACTCCCCATCCTCCAGGCTGGCTGAATGAAGTCCTTAGAGCCGCTCCCTGTTCTGTTCCATGTCTCTTGGTCACGCTTTTCTGTGGTGGAGTCACAGCTTCCTGGGGGGATACTGGTCCCAAGCTGCCTGTCCGACCCCAAGCTCCGTACTGACCCTAGGGCTGGCTGACAACAGGCAGGGCATAATTTGCCCTCTGTAGAGCCTGTTAAAGCTGCCCAGGGCCGGCTCCAGCATTTCTGCCGCCCCCGAAATGCCGCAGGTGCCGCCCCTCTCCCTTGGCCACCCCAAGCACCTGCTTGTTAAGCTGGTGCCTGGAGCCGGCCCTGAAGCTGCCTCACAAGATGGAGCCCCTTTTGGGGTCCGCCGGGAGCTTGCGCGGCTGCTCTGCCATCCCTGAAAGCTGGCAGAGGTGCTTGAGCCACATGCTGCTAAATACCTGGTCCAAGAGGAAGAGAGAACAAAGCAGGCTGCTACCTACTGCCCTAAAACAAACCCCCCAAAAGGCAAAGAAAAGGTCAGGAGCCCAGAGGCCCACCTCTGATTGCCCCAGGGAGACAGAACTGGCAGCAGGCCAGCTCAGGAAGCATAGCTAGCCCAGGCTGTGCTACAGCTTTGAACTGCCGACAGGAAGGGAATAGCCCATATGTAGCAGAAACGTGGGGGCCGCTGGACTGCAGAAACAGGAGCAAAGCCAGCAGCAGGACATGAAACACCAGTTGCCAGTAGGCCCTGACCTGTCATTAAGAGCGGACGTATTGGGAAACGAGGTGGCTGGGCAGCACATGCAAGGCTAGAAGAGGAGAAGTCAGCAGGAAAGCATACGGAGAGGAACAGAAGCCTGAGACCAAGCACTAGAACAGCAGTTCTCAAACTGTGGGTCGGGGACCCCAAAGTGGGTCACGACCCCATTTTAATGGGGTCACCAGGGCTGGCTTAGACTTGCTGGGGCCCAGGAGCCCTGGGCATCGGGATTCAGGTTACAGGCCCCCTGCCTGGGGCTGAAGTCCTTGGGCTTCATGGCTTCAGCTTTGCCCCCCTCCCCGACCGGGGGCTCAGACTTCAGTCCCCCCTGCTGGGGTCACATAGTAATTTTTATTGTCCAAAGAGGGTCGTGGTGCAATGAAGTTGGAGACCCCTGCACTAGAGACGCACATGGATGGGAGTAGGAGTCAGAGATGGACAGTAGAAAGAGAGCAGAGATGAAATGCATGGCAAGAGGAGATGGTGGGATTAGGTTTCACCTCCCCCCCACCCCAAAGCAGGGCAGATCACAGGTATTGCATTTCAGTTCTGTTAGCAGCTAGTGTTGCTGCAGCAGGGATGTTTTGTGATAGACATGGGAGGGAAAGTGGTCTGTGGAAGGTGATGAAGATGCAGCCCATGCTCTGAAGCAGTTTGAGCATGCCCCTCCCTAGGCTACACTGGGATCATCCAGTAGCAGTTTTTCAGGAGAGAAACAAAGATCTCTTGGCCTAATGCTCAGCATTTGGAGGTAGGTAGGAGAGCCAAGTTTTGTCCCATCTATCCCAGGCTTCCAGTGTGACTTTACTCAAGACAAGCTCCAAGCCTGGCTTCCTGAACGGGATGAAAGCAGTCCAGAGTACTATCCCAAAACTCACCTCCTAGGGCAGAAAGCAAGAGAAGTCCGTTTGAGATAAAACAACGGACTGAAGATTGCACATGACGTTTTTCTGCATGGCTCTTGATACCAATTGCTTTACATCTATGTATCAAATTCAATTTTGCATGAACTCCTCTAAGCATTCCTTTAAACTGCTTTTCCCTTACTTACAGCTTGCCAGTTCCTTGGTTCCTTTATTCCGTCTTCAATGGACTCAGCTCAGTTCCTGTCAGTAGTAATGGTTTGTTTTGTGCAATTGTTCTGCTTTTTCTCATGCTCGTGTTTGTGATCATCTCAATTGCTCTATCTAAATGGAAAATGAACAAACTATTGGGGCTCACCATGTTTGCTCTTTACTTTGTATTTTTGATTATCAGTGTGATGCTAGAAGACAGAATCATATCCTGCCCAATATCTGTATGAGGCTTGGGTGTAACTACCATTCGGGCAGCACAAGACGATGTGATCTCCATATACAGTATGTGTAAATGAACTTGAAAATGGGTTTAAGGTAGTTATATTTTACTTAAACCAATTGTAAGCTTATTGAAAATTGTGAAAACTAAGCTTAGTGAAACTTTAATTCAAATAAAGATTTCTATTAATATATTTATATGCATTAATATAGATTTAGGCCCCAATCCTGCAAAGACCCACACAGGTGTTTAAAATGTTATGCACTGCAAGTCGTCCTATTGAAGTAATAAGATGAAAGACCGAGGCTCTGCCCACTTGTAGTCATTAAAGATCCCAGGCAATTTTTGCAGGAGTCAGAGTATTATTAGTCTTTTGCAGAATCAGGGTCTAAATTATTAATGAAAGGGCCTGCTCCTAAATCCACTGAAGTCAGTGGAGCTTTGTCAATGGGTGTGGGATCAGACCCTGATGGTGAAATTCAGCCCTGTGGAGAGAGCCAGTGCTGATCTTCTTACACCCCCAAAATAGGGCTTAAGTGGGATGTAAGTGTTGAACAGGCCTTGAGTCGGTCCCTCTAAACAGAGGGGAATTTCACCCTAAACTCTTTGGAGAAAGAGCAATAAACTGATTTCTGTGCTCAGTGGGAAAAGCATTTACCAGTTACACAGCAATCCTGAAAAATATCCACTCTGCCACATTATAAATAAGCATCTAATTCTGCAATGTAATCTCTAAACTCATGGTGAAGTCCTACATAAACCAGAGGGACTCCATGTGGATCTAAGAGTCCATTGGTACAGTTTGCATTGTAGGATTCAGGGACTAGGAGAGCACACTGCAAACCAGTAAAAGGTAAAGAGAACAGGAAGTGAAACTGTTATAAAAAGAGGAAGCTGAAATGATCTTATATTGCTTTTCACCCCCTGAAAGTGACTGTATTCAACTCCTGTTAGCACTAATGTGTTTTGCATAATTGTGTCACATGAAGAAATGCTAATTGTCATCCACCATTATCAATTAGCCTGTATGGTTTAAAGTTACCAATGCCTCAATTAAACCAGCAAAGTGATGAGAAACTATAGATGCTTCTGTCATTCTTAAACCATTTAATAAAATTTAAATGAGCATAACCATACTGAGAACTTTAGCTTTTTATTTACTTGTAAAACTTTGAACTTTTATTCTTTTGGATGAGACAAAAAGTTTATCATTGTGAACAGTGACCTATATATTTTAAATGAATTACAAAACAAAATAAACATCCAACAAACTGATGTTCTTTTTGGTAAATAAAATTTAAACGTTACATATTTACAAATCTACAACCATTCATTTAAAAAGTGCTGTTTGCAAACTAACAAAGTACCATTTTAAAATCCAGATGAGAATATTATTATATCTAGAAATACCCCCTCTCTGAAATTAAAATTTGTACCTTCCATTTGTTATACAAAGATTTTGCATGCAGAAATTGTTCCTTTCTTTCTTTGGGGTAGAAATTATTTCATTTGTCTGTGGAAATTTAAGAAATCATTTTATCATAACTGTACCAAGAGCAAACCTAATGGCAGTGGGCAGTATTTAACAGTCACAGAGAAAAATTTCCACTTCTATTAGCTTCCCATTATTATTCCCCCCCCCCCCCCGCTGCTATGGTGGAACAAGAGAAAAGCATGGTATATATTGCACTGAAATGTAAAACACTTATTTAAAGTTAATGGAAAGAAGCACTATATAGCACACACAATATTTTACAATTTTTAAAATTGAAAATATATTCCAGAAGTACTAGAAAACATATTCATCCTAGCAGTACTGGAAAACATAATCAAAATGCTTTTTTAATAAAGGACAGTGAAGGCTGATAATTATTTCAATATTGGATTGTATGATGCTTAAAAACTTTCCACCTTCAGGATCTGCATTCTGACCACTACATTATAACAATCTGAATGAGGAGAATTTCTCATTCATCTAAAAATATATCAATTTCTCAGATATTTTATATTTCACAAACGATCTGGAAAAAGGGATAAATAATGAGGTGGCAAGGTTTGTAGATGATACAAAATTACTCAAGATAGTTAAGTCCAAAGCAGACTGCAAAGAGTTACAAAGGGATCTCACAAAACTGGGTGACTGGGAACAAAATGGCAGATGAAATTCAGTGTTGCTAATTGCAAAGTAATGCACTGGAAAACATAATCCCAACTTTACATATAAAATGATGGGGTCTAAATTAGCTGTTAACCACTCAAGAAAGAGATCTTGGAGTCATTATGGATCGTTCTCCAAAAACATCTACTCAATGTGAGAAGCAGTTGAAAAAACTAACAATGTTAGGAACCATTAGGAAAGGGATAGATAATAAGATAAAAATATCATAATGCCACTATATAAATCCATGGTATGCCCACACCTTGAATACTGCATGCAGTTCTGGTCATCCCAGCTCAAAAAGATGTATTAGGAATGGAAAAGAAAAAAAAAGAGAAGGGCAACAAAAATGATTAAGGGTTGGAACAGCTTCCATAGGAGGCGAGATGAAAAACTCTGGGACTCTTCAGGTTGGGAAAAAAGAGATGACTTAAGGGGGATCTGATAGAGGGCTATAAAATCATGAATGGGGTGGAGAAAATGAATAAGGAAGTGTTATTTACCCCTTCACATAAAACACAAGAACCCGGGGTCATCTAATAAAATTAATAGACAGCAGGTTGAAAACAAACAAAAGGAAGTACTTCTTCACACAACACACAGTCAACCTATAGAACTTGTTACCAGGGTATATTGTGATGGCCAGAAGTTAAAACTATAACTGGGCTAAAAAAAGAAGAATCAGATAAGTTCATGGAAGATAGCCATTGATGGACCTATTAGCCAAGATGGTCAGGGAAGCAACACTGGATGTCCCTAAGTCTTTGACTGCCATAAACTGGGGCTGGATGACAGGGGATGGATCACTTTATAATTGCCCTGTTCTATGTATTGCTTTTGAAGCATCTGGCATTGGCCACTGTCGAAGACAGCATACTTGGCTAGATGGACCATTGGTCTAACCCAGTATGGCCATTCTTATGTTATAATGTTTCTACAGTTGACTGACTTGCAACAGGTTTTGCCAAAGGAGTATTTAAAAGTTAAGTGTATAATGATTTCATTTGATAAATAAAAACGACATGGTATATTAATGTAAAGCAAGCACAACTAAACATCAGCAACCTTTAAGAAATGCAGTCTTAAGAGGGCAAGGGCACACTAAAATTGCTTGCCTGAAATAACGAGACATACAATATTTTTATGGTACATTATGTGCTTTCAATATAATACTGAAGGGACTTTTCATACCTGCAGAAGCTGGCAAACTTGTTTGGTCTTCTACAATTAAGGTGGTAGAAAGTATTCATAAGCAAGCTGGGTTAAAGGATTGGGCTATGTATTAAATATGTTGATATTCTGTGCTAGCACAAGTGCATAGTTGCAATGTAATGTCATCAAAGGAGACTTGGTGTGGAGACCAGACTCAGATACTTGTGCCAGTACAGGTTAACTGCTCAATCTAAAACATGAAGCCTGCCTCATAGCTTTCCAAGTACCTCTAGAACACCAATGACAGCTCTGGAGAAACAGCTTGTTCTCCTTCATGGCTATTAGGTACTATAGAATGGTGATTATCAAGTAGTAGTAACTGTAGTAGGAAATAGGATTTAAAGAAAGTGGTATAACACTGCATTATACACAGGACAAATATGTAGGTAGTTATTTACATACATGGCAACTATTGTAGGTAACTTTTACTTGGTAAATACAATGTAACTACAGCAGAGCATGCATACATGTCACTAGGTATTTACAATGAGTAAGTTCAAAAGTAATGACCATGTATTCCGCATGCTGGTTTTGATGACTGAGTTGAGCATGTTGGCAGCGTATTTATCATGTATTGTAACTGATGATTAATATGGTAGTTTTACAACATCAGTGAGGAATACTTTTTAGAAAGTGTGGGCACTACAAAATAAAGCATCACAAATTTTTAAAATAATTAAGCATGTGAAAACTGGTGGTAAATGTAACGTTACTATCTCCACCTAAAGAAAAAAATAGCTACACAATTAGCAGCATCTTAGAAAAGAGGTATTATTCAATGAAAGCTATATCCAAAAAGATCAAACATGGGTCAAGATGTATTTTGCATGTAACATTAAGAGTAAACTGCAGCTCTTGACATTTTAAAACAAACAGTCTGCTGCTGGATCCTGCAGCATCCCCTTACTCTTTTGAAGAGGGATTGGTAGGTGCTTTGAAATAACCCTCTAAAGGTCTAATCATATTTCCATTCAATAATAATAATGACGTCAATAGAATTTTTCAATTTACTTCAGTGGAAACAGGATGGAGTCCGCACTGCCCCTCGTTAACTCTGACAAGATGGCAGGTGCGAGTGTCTGGGGCTATGCAGAAAACTCCCACAAAAAGGTATATTTAGCTTTTCCATCTAGGTAAATATCACGGTAGGATTGCTCTTGGAAATTAGAAAGGTTGAGAGATGTCTGCAGGCAAGCAAACCCAAACCTGTCTCTCAAAGATTGAAAGAGTATCTTCTCCATCTCCAATGCTGCAGGGTGGTAGGAAAAAGAACTTGCACATAGAACCTCTGATACTTTATACATAAAACCTGCTTTCTGGTGTGTAGCTGCTGTGAATGAGTGCGTAACATTTTCTGAAATTTCTAGAACTTCAGAGCATGAGCCAGAAGTCATGACTCCAAGGTGGAGAGTTATGCAGCACTATTTTCTTTACAGAGCCGAAGTTACTGTGTTGCCTGGGAAATACAGGATCAGTCATTCCAAATATACCTTATTACATACAGCATATCCCAATGGATTAAATTTCCTATATATTTCATGTAGCATATTTTCTTATTTAAAAAAGAGTGTAACTTTGGACCATAATGAATTAAGTGCCATGTTTAGGGCATTTACAAACATACCTACACCTCCATATAACAGGACTGTACACTATACATTTTATGTGGAACTATTTTTGTAAGCTATTTGCTATACATCTTGTAATATATACCCATAGATATATTAAATTAGTAAATGCCAACAGCTAAAAAGCGTTGGATCTCCTTAAAGTAAACTGTGGGTTCCTTCAATGTATTACAGAATTTTGTGGGGGACTTCTACAGAAAGAAAGATACTATAGAGTCAGAGTGTTAATAACCATATTTTTACACAAGTTTGCCATACTTTTCATCCGATTGCAGTGGTAGTACATAATTCTGTGTGTGCAAGAGAAATACTGGCCCCAGAATGTTACCTAGGACAGTGCTGAAATTATAGACCACTTCAAAAGCAAATTATTTTTTCAAAACCTAATTGGACCAGTTACTATAAATAGCAGAAAAAAAATGAGCACTGTATTGCTTATGCAATAAGTTCATTAAAATTCACTAGAGTAATTTAAAAAATTAAAAAAATATCTACTATAAACAATTTAAAATATGTATAATACAACTTTGTATGCGCTTCATAACATTTTGAATATTCTATGTAAACAGATTTGCAGAATTTACTTCACTCTTGCTAGTTTCAGTGCATCATTTTTGTCTGCCTCTCCCAAGTTTTCTTTAAAGGACCGTAAAATGTTGTCTCTTGTTAGAGAACTGATTTAGTTTACGGTCGCCTACTCCACAAAATGATTTGCAGAGAGAAGCAAGGAGAGGAAAGTAGTATTTGGCCCCTTCTTTGCTCATTGTCCATTTTTGTAACTATATAGGCCCAATTTTTTCCAGTCTTCTGACACAGTACATTTGTAAATATGTTTTCAAACACTGAAGACCGAGATGTTCTTTGTGACTTTACACATGTATACAATTCATTAAAATATATATATATTTTTAAAGATATGGTTCTCCAAAAATCTTTCGGCATTCCATCACTCCAGTACTTGGCGGTCTATCGCAGTTGTGAGTGCTCTTGACCTGATTAGCTGTGAGACGATCATAGGCCATTTTGTACTCTCTGTCAAAAGCAT